CGTCTCAGTGGTTTCTACATGCGTCTAACCCACTATACTTCACATTAAATCCTCCAACTATCTAGCTGCCTATGAAGCCTTTTTTTCCTTCCAAATTTCACCGTTTCTAAAAAGCAACCTAGAAAAAGGTCACCAACAAGGCAATCCTAAATGGAGTTCCACCCTTCTATGTCTGTTGACCTTGATGGATTTACAAGGATTATACTATTAATCTGTTATCCATTCAAAAGAAGCTGAGGCTTCGCAAGACTGGGAGCGATGGGCTCCTCCCGCTCCCTGGCTTAGTAGATGCTTCAGAGCATTCTGCATGGTTCTTGTCAGTTTGCAAGTACAGAGCAAAGCTGTTAATGAGAGGACATTTATTGAGTTGTCATAAATTAGAGGTGACTTGACGGTACACACACACACACGATTCTTAATTTGGCCTAGGGAAATGTGTGTCTGTAGCCTTTGATCATGCGATTCAACTCAGCATTACTCATTATCCACAACTGCTCAGAAATCAGGGGCAGAAATACAAGAACTGACTGTAATCAAAAGCTTCAGAAGGTGGCATCTCCTGATGATAAAGCCCCAGTGGTCGAAATGGCTACTGCATCTGCAGCTGGACATCTGCAGCCACCCTCGAAGCAGAACAAAATACAAAAAGTGGTTTTTCGTAACAGCAGCTTCTGAACACCTTGGCTGCAAACTGGGAGAGCCAGGATTCTAGAAAATAGGGTAGAAAAACAGCACATTTCTACAAAAATTCTAGAAAACGGCTAAACTGATGCTTTTCCAGAGCCACAAAGTCCCTATCCAAAATTAGTTTTTCTTCACCTTTTTAAATCTGCGATTGGCTCATCCCCTCCCATCCAGTGGAGTTTTATGGGCTCTGATTAGCTGACAATAATTTGGATTTGCATGAAGCCAAAATCACAAGGATTGGTTCAGAACCCTGGACGAGAGGTGGGACTTTTGAGGACGATTGCCACAGGGGATCCAGATCTGAATCCTCTCCAGATTGCTGCAGAGGTATTCTACGTAGGCCTCACTTTAAGATACATACATATACACTTTGACGTAAGAGCAATTTCAAATGTATATGAGCCTATTAATTAATTTCCCTTATAGCCTGCCTTTTCTTTCATCACAGAACTTAAGGCAACATACAAACCAAGAAATAAGCAACATGTGCTGCACATTTGACATTTCTATCATTGATTTGTCAATTACCTTCAGAAAAGCATTTCGTGTAAGAAAGATGAAAAAGATACGAAGATAAAGCATGCAAGTGAAGTTTTGTTTTTCATAATATTAATGATTTTGGTGGTGTTAAATTATAAAATTATTTCTTCAATAAAATAAAACATTTTTTAAAAGCATTTTGTGTACCTACAGGAGGCTTTGTACCTGCAACAATTGCTAGACCAAGCTGTAGCTTGCTTGCTGTCTTCAGGAATTTCTGTACATGTACATACAGTCTCATATAATAGGAACTTAACAGTGAGCTACAGGGGGTATCCCTGTGAAACACACACATGCACAGCAGAGAAGCTTCAGGGATTGCCCTATCTGTTCTGTAAGATACTTGTGTGCATAAGTGTTAAATCTGGAGTTAAATAGCCACATCTTCCCTTGTGGCCAGATGCACTAGCTATCCTTGTACTATCTGCTTGCACATGCTACTAAAGTGCAGATGTGAAAGTTGAACCTCAGACATTAGAAAGATGTTGAGAAAAATGGAACTGTACATCTCCTGAGTATTCTATCCCATCTCTGCATTAGATACCATCCAAAGCCACTTCAAGTTACAGAGCAGATTCTCTGTGTCAATCACATCATCAGCAAAGGAACATGATTTGTTTGAGACAGTCTGGGTGTGTCTGATACATGCTTAATGGTCTGGCCATGTGCCTGGTCATTCTGCAAATGTCTGCTGCCTGTTTTTGAACCCATGCTCTGCTTAGACAACTAAGTGGATAACCATTTCAAAAAGGACCCCCCACACACATTAAGAACCTCATTGGTACCTATAATATTTCTACTGCTGCAATCTCTTATTTATTAAATAAAATGTGCAAAGATACTTAGTGGATTCAGGTTTCATAGCTACATATAATTTCCATTGTGCACATACCATTAAAATGAAGAGACAGGCTGATCTTTAAGATTCTGTACGCAAGGTAGATTTGGCCACCTTCAAGGCAAAGGAACACCTACAAGGCAAATCATACTGGGACTCAAAGAGCTAGAAACTAGTTTTCATGTTTTAACATCATGCTGCACATATTGGCTTCGCTCCATTGCGTTTCTGCAGACTGAATAATTTCTGACTGCAGAGTGGGACTTTCTTGCCTCCTTCCCTCCTGCTGCAGCCCAGAATGCCTCCCCGTCTGCATCCAAGCCAGTATCTGTGCACCACTTTTGTGAGTGTTAGTTGTTAACCTGCACTTGTACTCGTCTTGTAGTCTGTCTGGTTAACTCGATGGTAATGTGTCACTTTCTTGTCACAGAGGAAGAATCAGGGCAAGGACCCTTAGATGGAGCTATGTGATGAATCAGTGATAGGCCGTGGCCACGCACACTAAATAATCCACTTTCAGACTGGATTTTTACTGTGTGAACTGGCAA